TTCGGGTATCTCTATCATTTAATATTGGTGGTCTACCGCTTCGGGTAGCAACTGTGGTTTGGCCAAACTCTTTATATTTTGTATGACGTTATGAACTTTATGAACTGTAGATTTGGGTCGTCCTAGAGTTTCTCGTTCGGAAAAACCACACTTCCAAGCGCCGATTATCTCGCCGCGCTCAAAATTCGTAAGTTGGCAATTTCTGCGAGTATTGGTTGAGTTTGATATATTTTTTTTATATCGTTTTAAAGCTTTCTAAAGAGCTTTTGAACGTTAAAATTGGACGTCTGTGTGTTGCCCTTTATTTATGTCGCCGCCGATTCCAAACTTTTGTCCAGCGCCCGATTTACGTGTGTGACCATTTTTTAATAATAAACATCACCTCCTACAATACTATAGGGGAAGATTTGGCATACATGAACACCACAAATGCCGCAAAAATACTCGGACGCAACCCTATAACGGTACGCCGCTTTATAAACAAATATAAACGAACTGGAAAAAGTGAAAACTTACCATGTTCAGGAAGACCACCAGCCTTAAATAACCACGAAAAGGATTTACTTATACGTGAAGCTAGCGAAAAACGACGCGCGAAATAGTCAACAATTTAGGCCCCACTTGTAGTTTATCAACCGCCGCAAATGTATTGCACAACGCCGGACTTAACTCACGTATCGCAGCAAAGAAACCCTAAATTTCAGAAACACATCGTATTAAATGATGTGAAGAAAATGAAAATAAATCAGCTTATGATTGGTTGAAAATAATTTTCTTGATGAAACCAGTGTAGAAATTGAAAAGCCCATCACGGCAACAAAGAATTTGGCGGCGTCTTGGAGAAAAGTTTAACGTTAATTGTTTGGTGCCTACCTTTAAAAGTGGATGAAAATCTGTAATGGTTTGGGGATGTTTCGCGGGAAAATTAAAAGGGCTATTAATTTTTGTGATGTATATTACACAATCTTTCAACATGACAATGCGCCGCCGATACATACTGCGGGAAAAATTAAGGATTGGCTAACGGAAAATAAAATCGCAATTATTAATTGGCCGGCGAATTCCCCAGACCTGAATCCAATAGAGAACATTTGAGAGGTATTAAAGGACAATATTCAAAAAAATGAGAACTTTCCGACGACTGTGGACGAACTTAAGATTTACACTGAAGATGGAGTGGGAAAAACTTGATGTGGCCATTTTCACGAAAAATTAATGCGGTATTAGCGTCAAATGGAGATTAAATATTAAATAATTTTATTTTTTATTATAAATTGACAAAAATCAATTGATGAAAACGATTTCAGCTGAAGAATTAAAATTAGAAATAAATAATATAAAAAAAGGAGTTTGCTTATTCAGACTTTTGGACCAAAATTGAGGGGGTTGCTTATTTTACGGTATTCCATAATATCAATGCAACCCATACAGCAGTTTGAATCTATTGTTGAAAAATTTGATTGTATTAGAAATAAAAAGCAGCTTTCACTTTAAAATTGTTCATTTTTACCTCGCGTATAAAATCTGCTTTGAATTGTGACACAATTTCATCTTGATAAAGTTTTGTTCTATGTTTAAATGAGGGATGCAATTTATATTAGTTGTCGTGACTAATGCTAAGTTGTATTAATGAGATATTTACTGTATTTTGGTCAACGCTCGAAAAAAAATTTGTAGCTTGTTTTATTTCCTGTTTTTAATATTCCACTTCATGCGTTTTACCTAGTACATGATTGAATTATTGAATTATATTATATATTGATATTATCTTTTTATTTTATATTGATAACATAGTTGATATAAATATTCACGTTTTTCTAAAAATTTTATTCAATCAATTTTCTCCATTAACCTTTTGATTATTACCATTTTCATTGTCATCGTCGTCGTCGTCGTCATCGTCATCGAAATAGACACGCGCCCGTTGCATCGCTTCAAAATATCGAATAGGTAAATGATTTCTAAAGAATGTGGGCAACAGCTTCTCTACCCAAATCAACGGACTGCCGAGTTTGTGTTCGTATTTTGGTTTCTGACGGAATACATCTTTTCTGCTATACCACGTTTCACCATTTGCACGTAGCCTTTGATGATATTCACGAGTGGCATCGTTATCTTCATTTCCTTGATTCCATCTAAATAACTTCGCAAAGTACCCTCGAGGCTTACGCTCAACAAATATCGCAGCTCGAGAGTCTTCAAACAAGCT